TGGCCAATATTTTGAATAAAAAAATTAATTTCCCTTGAAAATTACGTGTCTTTTTTACTAAAAACCGGAAAAAACTTAATGCATACACCTGGTACTTCTATACATTATTTTACGTTCAATTATATCATTTTTATACACATATATCTTTTACGCATACACCTTATTTGTAAATTTAATTTTACCTTACTTACGATACAAGAAGTTAATTTTATTTGTACACTACAAATTTATAAATGTGCGGAAAATTATTACAATGAATCTTCAAACCCACAATGATAGTTGTAATTTTATAAATAACTTTTTATAAAATATATAATAGGAGAATTATTACGCGGTCATAATTAAATAATCAATTAAATCATATCACATCAATAATTAGATAATCATTAAATAATCAATAATTAATCATTCAATGATTATTTAATTATTGATTTAATTGATTATTTAATTATAATTGCGTAGTAATTCTTCTATTATACTTCTATTATTCTATTTTAAAAAGAAGTTATATGTAAAATTACAACCATCATTGCAGATCATTTGGAGATACCCATGTAACAGTTTTACACGCATGTTTAAATTTATAATATGCGAATAAACTTCTTGTGCTATAAGATTACATTTACAATTAGGATTACATTTACAATTAAATGTAAATGTATAGAAATGATATGATATAATGTAACATGAAATAACTTTTATGTATAGAAATAATACTTTTTATAATTACATTATTGCAAATTCAAATTTTAAATTTAACATAGTAATCATTTCGAAAATACTTATTTTGATTTTCACATTTTTATTTACTAATATTTATTTTTTATTATTATTGAATATAATCTTGTTTATTTTTGACAGAGTTGTACAGTTTTCGCGAATTCATTATTTTTTAAAATAATTTTTAATATCAATTGCTTGAGATAGCTGTAAGACATTTAATGTTTAAACCCGTTGTAATGTTATACGTAACTTTTTTAAAAATGTATAATAAAATTATGCGATAATTAAATAATTAATAATCATATTTAAATAATCAAATAAATAAATAATTAATAATCAATGATTAATCAGAACGAAAGAAAGAAAGAAAGAAAGGAAAGAAAGAAAAGCGCGACGTATAGAGACATCGCGGTCTCTCACTCGCACTAGCCTTGAATGTGTGAGACAGCAAAGAGACACCGAAATCGATATCCGATTATGCTTTCTCTCTCGATCGTGCGTCTCGCGTTAAGGATGTAACATCGAATTGCCCCTATTATTTTTCCCCTCCGCTCCGCAATCTCCTTCGCGTTCCGCGGAGACACGGACGTACTCGCTTCGTGTGTAGCGGCCGCGCACCGAGCGCACAGACACCATTTCCGCCAGTACGTGTACATTGGACAGTGGCGCCTCCATGACAGAAATTGCAACCGTAGAGAACCGGGCGACGACGATAATGATGACGTTTCTTAAAATAAAAATTTCCAAATAGAACTTTACGTAACAATATCTCCGCTCGTAGGGCACGTAGCAGAAAAATAAAAATACTTTTATTATGCAAGTCGAACACAAGCTATCGATCAAGCCTACTTAGAATTTGATCGGTTTAGTCGTTATTGAGATCCGATAATTTCAGATAAAATCACACGGCAGTGTTCTTAATTGACTTGACATCCAAGACACTACCGTATCTCCTGATTATATCACTGTATCGCATTTCGAAATATCGTTTGTGCACGGCAAGGTCGTGCGTTCATGCTTGTGTACATTGTATTTGAAAAAGTGTGCTCAAGTTAACACGCTTCAGCTAAATCGCCGAAATGATCAAAGGGGCGAGACTTCAAAGAAAAACAAGCGTCAGGTATTTCTGACAGAGAATGAGAATACTCGATTTCGGAAGAGAAAACCGAATGTTTGGCAGAGATTGAAAGTGCTCGGTCTCACTTTCTCTAGACGGGACGAAAATGGATTAGTACTTGGATAATAGGAAAAACAAGCGTCGAGAATGTTCGGCGGAGATTGAGAATAGTCGGTCTCGGTTTCTTGCTCGGTCGGAGTATTGGATCTGGACAGGTCGGATGCTAGGACGGATGTTGACTGTATGAAAAATCGACTAACTTTTGTACCGAAGAAGACGCTATCCTTTTCTCACTTTGTTTTCTCCCATTTTTCTAATACAATTGTTATTTGTTAAAAATTGGAATTTGTTTGCGACGATTGTTTTTACGCATGTTCGGCGGTAATACGGTGGACGCAGTGTTCGACTCTGTTTGGGTGCGTTCGCGATGAACCGAACGGTACTTTAGCCGCACGGAGTGGCTAGTAACGATATGTCGTCGATACGTATCGTTACATATTTATTTTATTAATGAAAAGATTGTTGAAAATGCCCTTCATCTCACAGACATTAAATTTTTGTCTGAGCGGATTAAAAACATGAACCGATAGTATTTATGTTTTATATTTATTAGTGTTTATGAAAATAAATAGATAGCTAAATTGGGTGAACTAAGCAAATTGTAATTAGCTAAGTGCACGCGTATTTAACGAATATTTAAACTAGTTTTCCTCGAAAACAAAGATTTATACGAAAAAATATTATTCTATAAATATTTTTAACTTAAGTATTTTTATATGAGAAATCATTTCCTTTTCGATTGTACCATGATTTCCAAAATGTTCTGTATACAATCATATAGATCTTATCAAATTTAAAAAATTATGAAACTACGAAAATTATCATAATTTTATCAAAATTATAAATTATAATTTGAAATTATAATGTAATTTAGAATTAATATTCATTATTCTTTTTTATCTTTTAATTATGTTTATGAAATAATACATAATAAAATTTTTGAATTAACGAATGCTAATATTTGATGTCACTGATTCTTATACTCACATATTTGTAATATAAGCAGCCCAGCCTGGCATAAAACCAGGATTTCTAAAAAACCATAAGAGTACTACAAAAATAAATAGTATCCCCACAGATAATTCGTGCCACGAAATCGGTCCAAGTTCCTTGTATCTCTTTTCGATGACTGCCGCTGCGACACGTTCACCTTGTTGCCCAATATCTATGGCGCGAGCATCTTTGCTTTCTGATCTGAAGAGACCCATATACATCATCTGCAGCCATAACCATGTAAGAAAACCCATCAATAGCATGGGTGGCACCGAATACAACATCCAGGAAGCGAAATTTATGCCAGGGCTATTGGGGAAACGTCTGGAAATATATATAAATTTTATAATCATTGGACTTATAAGAGGAGGACGCGGACTTTCGAAACACTGATTTTGAAAGAACTTTATATGATATTGAACTTTATATGATATATGATATTATATGTTAAAGTACTCTACTAGAAGAGTACTTGAGTAAAAGGATAGGATGCAATATTTAGTTGTTTTCGAGAAAAATCAGTTTAAAGTTTATAGCGTTCCTTATATACCGGCCGCGTTAAGCTTATTGTCGCCGAGATCGGGTAGCTGGGGCGCTCAGCCCTATCAATCTGTTGACTCGGATTCGATTCCTGTCTTATACTTTTTTTTTTCTAGAAAATATTTACCTTTGGACTCAACTTATTCTCGCCAAACAACGATGAATAATTGTCAAGAAATTTATTATGTTGACGACGAACTTTATTATATCAACTATGCATCTGGTGCGAATGTGTTTTCGATCTCGGTGAGATACCCGTTACGGATCTAAATATCCGCGCATAGATACTTCTATATTTTTATAATCTCATCTTTATAATCTCATATCTTGCAATCTTTATTTATTTACTACTTGGTTTTAAATTAAGTACTGAGGAAGCCTTAGTGTAGCCCAAAACGTATACATGTATTATTATTTTATTTTATCAACTACAAGTTATTTAATATATTAATTACTCACACTATCTGAAATTTCTATATTCTTTATTGCTCATTATTTGGCCTTATCTCTACTCAATGTTTTTTTAATTTATTTTTTTTAAGCTAAAATATTAATTGTTGCACAATTTTCGTTATGAATAATATTAAATAACAAGAATTTAAAACATTTTAATTATTTATTATAAAATTTTGTGTATGTGTGACATTGCCGTACAATTATTTTTTGTAAAAAGTTGACATTGCCGTACGATTTTGTGGATGAAAATCAATATAGAAACATTTAAAACACAAGTAGAACGTATATCATGAACATTTTATAAATGAATTATTATTTTTACAAATACATTTCATGCTGTAATTATCTGAAGGAAAACATAACATTTACATTATAAAAAATTTCGTTTGGATGCCAGCTTTGACGCATACTAAGCAAAAAATTACAATTTAAAAATTAAAAATTAAAAATTAAAATGTTTTAAACTCTTGTTATTTATTATTATTTATAACGAAAATTGTGCAATGATTAATATTTTAGCTTAAAAAAAATAAATTAAAAAAAAATTAATTCTATTAAAAAATAACGTTTACTTAAAAAAAAAATTAATATTGCAGGGATTTAAACTCGCGTCGGACGGAAAAAAGTATCGCCCACTTCAGATTGCTCAGTTACGTCACTTTTCTGTTTACTGCACGGTTCCAGTACTTGTAATTTTCTTAGAAACCAATTGCACAGCTGATCGGGTACCCAACTTTACTTGCAATTTTCTTAGAAACCAAAGCCCATTCACTTAAACCACATTTTATCGTGTTACTACACCCAACTACCTCCTTCGAATAGGTTATGGCTCACCCCATTTGGAATTTTACAATCATCTCTGTTAGTTATGATTTGTTATTATTTTTCATTATACAAATACAGTTTTTTTTAAATAATAATATTGTAATAATATTATTATAAAAATAATAATATTAAAATACCAATATTTAACAAAACGATCATCTGAAAATAAGTTACAGCCATCTAAAATATAGGTTAGGATCTTTCGGTAAAAATTTCATTTTTTTTTATCGTAAAATCAGGCGACTATCAAAACTCAGGTGACTGTGAGAAATCTTGTTTGATGTGGAACAAAACAGAATGTCAGATCCGAGATTTTGATAGAATGTTTAAGATATATCTTCTCAATCGAGAAGAATAGAAGAGACACAAGAGATTTATAAGACAAGGGATGTTTGGTACATACATGGCGCCAAAACTAGCGAGGACATCAGTGCCAATGTAAGCGTGTCGGCAAACGAGTAAGTGTCGGTCCACAATAAGTGATTTAAGCTTTAAAAAGTAAGAAATTGACCAATTATAATCGAATATGAAAAGAATACTCGACTATGATTAGTCAATTTCTTACGGCTTAAAGATTAAATACTTATTGTGGACCGACACTAAGGGAAATCTTTTTACTCGACACTGAAAAAGTTACAATTACTGTGTTTAAATGTTGATTGCATCAGTGGAAATGGACAGACACATCAGAATATGCTCCGAGCCGGACAGCTTTGGGAGCACTCATTTTCAAATTGCGGTTAGTCTGAGAATGTGAGTACACTTTAAATCATTTGGCAGCTAATAATAATATTGTTCTTAATAATATGAAATACTTAGGGCTTAATGGTAATAATCGCTGATCAACTGGCAGGGATGAAGGGGTCAGAGCACTTGTCTCTTGTTTGTAAGGTTAAAAAATCAGAGATTTGTTGCAAGAACAGCAACTTTTAAAATGAAAAAACAAAGATCAAGACAAGCTAGGACTATGTTGGGAGAATCACTCAGTGAGGATCTACTCAAAAATATAAGGTCGTTAGAAAGAGAGGGAAGCAGGGAGGGAAGAAGAATTAGATTAGAAGTGCAAATATATACCACCAACTACTATAAATTCAAAATGGAATTGTGCAGCCTATTCAATAGCGTGATAATGATGAGGGAATTACGAAGAGTCTTCACTTAGCCTGAGTCCAAGTCCATAGTCCAACATATGTTTAAGATTAAGATGACAATTATTAGGTTCGAATCCGAGCAATGAGATAATTACAAATTAGAGAATCCCTTCTCTTTTAAAAAAAGAGAGTCAAAAAAAGTAGTTTAAAAGAATGTTTTAAAGAAAGTTTTAAGTTTGAATACCTTTTTAACAAAAAATAATTTTGTTGTATACCTTAGTTTATTATTTTAAAAATATATAATATGTTTTGCAGACAAACAGCTTCCTGGATTAATGTATTGGTTTCAACAAATGATGTGCGTCTTCTTTCATGTCTGATATTGAGACTTTTGTGAACTTGGCATCTAACTTTTTAAATTAACTTTTTATATGAAAATAATTAGTATTTTGTTTGTAGTTGTTTGTAGTAACAATAATTTTATAATTACACCACATAATTTGTAATTACAACGTGACTTGGTTTGACAATTTTAATTGTAATTCCCAGGGTATATTCCCCGGGTGAGCCATCTTTCTGTTGTTGGTTTTTTTTATAAATTTAATACAGTTAATATTAATTAATATAAAGCCTTATTTAGGAGACACATAACTGATTTTTTTGCCATTGCTTATGTTATTGCCACTTTTTCCAAGTGTTAACGATTTGCGATGACGATTTGGATGTTCCACTGCACTTTCGGGGAACTCTGTAAGAATAATTAGCTCTTCACGTGAAGATGGCCCGAATTGAAATCGAAACATTCAAGTTATGGAATAAACTTAGTAAATATTCATAAGAATTCATTGCGTTAAGTGTATCACACTTCAACTCTTATTAGCCCCTTATTTTTCTGTTTTAATTTTTAACAATAATTTCGTTTGTAGTTCTATTCATATAAAAAATATCAAAATAAAGAAAAAATGACTTGTATCCGATACTAAGGTATTTTAAATCCGCTTGCGCAGTTTTTTTTAGAATTGTTTGTAGTTTATAATACTTTTCGTTTCGTTTGTAATTGAACCGTTCAGAAGTTACAATAATTTAAACAAATGTCCAAGAACGAACTTTGACATTTTGTTAAGACAGCGCAAATGCATTATTATTAATTAATAATTATTTCAATCAAGGTCTAGCAGCGCCAAGTTTTTTTACATTTACATTTTTTTACATTACAAAAATTATTTTATTTAAATTAAATTTTTTTCATTTTGTACTATTACCTCTTTAATTCTTTATAATTTTCCATTTGGTTTAAATATGTATTTAAACATGTATTTAAATATGTATTTAAACATATATTTAAACATGTATTTAAAAATTCTTACAGAAGGATATGCTAGAATATTATGTATACATATATTGAGATAGAATGAAAGCTATTATCACTTGGGTTTTAGAATAAGAAGATTTCAATGAGAATACGAATTGATTGATTTACATTTTTTAAAAGCAATTGTATATTTAACTTTCGAGGTAATGGGATTATAACTTGGCTTTTTTGATATCAAATCTTTTATATAAATGATATACATATTAGGATTGAGTATTAGATACTATTTGAATTTAACAAAATTGTGATATAACACTTTAAATAGGAAAATTCTTAAGTGTTAAGATATGTACTTAGATTTTATTTCTATTTTTTAATGATCTTGAATACTTAAATAAATGCGATTTAGATAAATCTTACTATACTTGACATCCTTTTTTATTTTATGGGAAAAAGGTAATTTTATAGTAATATCAGATATTTTGAGGTATTAACTATCTTTCTATGTTCGAAAAGCGAATCTTGACACTTTTATACTTGACATTTTTTTTCTATAATACGCACAACAAAAGTAAATAGGATATAGAACGAAAGAACGAGCGAGATAGCATATTTCCTCTTTTTCCACGCGTCCGATTGGCGATCGACGATGTCATTGAGTTTCGCGGCGAGTTTGACAATTACTGATAGCTTGTTTTGGAGTAAATGATGTTTTGTAAGTGATGTTTATGCGACATAATCTATTATCTTGTAGGTAAGTTCTAAGAAGCAATATGAGTATTGTCATTTTGAATGCATATATTTTTCGTATTGTACTTTTACATATGTATATGTTTGTGCTTTTTAATATTTAATATTTTTTTTAATTTACTTAAGATTTGTTGAAGTATTTCAGTTGCTTTACAATTTTTTTCTGAATACCCTGAAAATATATGATACATGTTATTTTAGTACAAATGCAATATGTTTTTTTATACTTTTATTAATACAATTTCGTTTAAAAGATAATTCAGTTTTATTAATAGTTTTTAAATTTATCTTTTTGATATATTGTTTAAACATATATATTATAATATGGTCAAGAGTTGCACAACGATCTGTACAGACCATAGTATTTGAACACTTTTAGCTTTGATTTTTGAAAAAAGCATAAACACGTACGTAAGAGAACAATATCAAAATGACAGTATTTATATTGCATTATATTTATATTGAACCTACCTGCAAAATAACAGATTATGACACACAAATATCAGTCACTTACATTCCAAAACAAATTATCACTAACTGTCAAACTCGCCGCAAAATTCAACGACAACGTTGTTCGCTAATCGGACGCGCGGAAAAAGAGTAAGCATGCTATCTCGTTCACTCTTTCATTTTCTACTTTGTTACTCTCGTTATGCGTACACATCACTGAGGAGACTGAAGAATCTTAAACTCGATAGAAATCTTTTGTTAATCAATTAATCTGAATCGTAATGTAAGGAGCAGACTATAATCATAGTTATAGAGATACATTTTCCAATTTTTCATGAGATATATTGTACTCTGCCCGCCAATAATTCGCTGGCTCCTACAGTGATCCTGACTTATCGGTCTAATAATCCATTGGGTTGATAAGATTAATAATGGTAAATATCACTTATCAAAAGGAATATATTAGTAGTCTAGAAACTAGTACTCGTATAAGTGCATGAATTATGATTGCAAGTAATTGTACGAGAAGAATACTCGATCAATTACTTAGCATAATTTATAATTCGAAGCACAACATGTTACGAAATATATATTTATATAGATATAAAAATCGGTACGAACGAACAATATGAAATAATTTATGATGAAATAATTTATGTATTTTTTTTAAATTAGAGAAAGAAAGAAGAAAGATAGAACAAATAAAAAGAAGTGTGTTTGTTATTTTTTTTATTATTCTAGATTATTGCTAATGTGTTCGTTTCGATGCGCATTTTTTGTATTTATCATTAAATCTTATCGACCCTGTGGATAAATCAAGCCGATAAATCGGGGCCATTGTAGGATCGAGCGAATCATTGACAGGCAGTATACATTTGATCTACTTGGGTTCACTAGCGCCTTTCGTGATAGAAATTGCAATCGTACATGGACGACGACGATACTAATAATGACGTTTCTTAAAGTAAAAATTTCCAAATCGAATTTTACGTAGCAATATCTCCGCTTGTAAGACACGTAACAGAAAAATAAAAATACTTTTATGCAAGTTGAACAAGCTACCGATCAAGCCTACTTAGAACTTGATCGATTTAGCCATTATTGAGATCCAATAATTTCGGATGCTCGCATCTCGCTGACTCGCATATAGTCACACGGTAGTGTTCTCGATTGATTTGACATTCGAGATATTACCGTGTTTCCTGATATGTACTTATTTTTCTGCTCAGTTTAAGGCGCCTGAGTACTCAGCAAAGAACTCCGCGTTGACGATAGCGACGTACCGTCGCGGTGAAAAATAGAAGCTCATTCATCCTTGTTCATCTTATCCTTATCTTTGTTCATTTTTATGTAGTGACCTATGAAATTTTTTATTCCGGCTATTTTCGTTATTATGTGCAGATATGACTTGTTTCATACTTATCAGATTCGTAAAAATGGGCGGCAACTAAAATTATCTGCGGACATTACATGTGAAAGCATTTTTTTAAATTTCTTTCAATAGCTGTCAAACCGTGTGTTTTCTGCTTTTCAGGCTTCATTTCACGTGTCCTTTTTTTACAATTATTTATTGATTATCTGGAAGGAAAAGGAGTAGCTGCCCATTTTTACAAGTGTATCTTAAAGTTATATCAGGTGTCAAATATCTCTTTATTTGCAAAATTAGCGCAATAAACTTTACTGTGTCATTTCTCGCCTATCACGATTCCAATATGGCCGCGATGACTATTCAGGGGCCTTAACATGTTTTATAAAAGGTGATATGGTTATTATCGAACATCTTGTATAGGTACATATAAACATTTGATACTTCATTACTTTTCTCATATTATAAAAGAATTCTAGAAATATATATTTTTTTAATAGTCAACTTTTCAAGATGAGATTTCAAGATGAGATTTTAAAAAAATCGGTTTAAAAGAAAGTTTTTTTTATGTATTATTATTATAGTATGCTTCCGTAAAGTTAGATCATTTGAAGTCATTTTTTGTACGACATAAACTTTAGAATACAGATAGCTGCTTCCATTAAAATGAATACCTTATAAATAATAAAAAATGGATTCCTCATATATAATAAAAATATCATTATATATCTTGTATATATGATATCATATGATATCTTGTATATATGATATACACATGTTTTATAAACAATGATACATAGCTTGTATGCAGATCGGGACAAATTGATAAAGAAAACATCATAGGTGGTCCTTCGAATTTAAAATATATTGTAGTACTATACTTTCATATATGATAAAGCCATTTAATATAACTCTCAAGCATTTGCGAGAAAATCCAGTTTTGAAGTTTCTATTGTAATCGATATATTGCGATTTTTTTAACATCTTTCGAGCTTAGCGGCACGGTTAAAGGCGTAAGGCGCTTGCTCATATAACATATTATAAATAAATAAATAAGCATTTATATTTGTATTTTATTTCGGATCCGCAAGGGCAATCGTATTAGCCAAGCGCTTTACACTGTTGAGCTTGAAAGATGTCAAAAAATTACAGTATATAAGTTACAATATATGTTACACGGAAAACTTTAAACTCTTGATTTTCTCGCGAATGCTGGAGAATTGTATCGAATTATATTGAATGGCTTTACTATATATTAATGGGGACATGCTGCAACGTATTTTAAACTCAACAAAATTTGAAAGAATCATCTATAATGTTTTCGTTATAAGCAAATAATTCTTTATCATTTTCTCACTTTTGCAATTAATAATGAGTTATTAATACAAATCGTTAAATAAGTGCATATTTGTCCAGCCTATATTAATAGCATTTTCTTATACATTATAAAAGTTTTGAAATATTTTAATAAAATGATATTATCGTGCTTAACAAAATTTATTATGTGCATATACTTCTCCAAAAATCCTTTTAATGTTAAATTGGTACCGCTTCCAACAATAGTGCCAATACCGCCAAGACTAGAGGCATAAGCTGAGACAAGATAATATACCATAGTACTATGCGTTGGCGTCTTATTCCTAAAAGGAAAAGAATTTGTATGCAAACACAAAATAGAAATGATATATAAATAGATTTATTTGTATACACAATTTGTAATATATATATATATATATATGTACAAATTTTTGTATAATTGTATGCGATTATTATATATATTATTATATATATATATATATATTACATATATATATTACATATATATATATATTATTACACACACATACACATACATATACATTTTATTTTGAATGATAATCTCAAATATCTCTTGAAGTGCATTTTAGAAAAACATATTTCAGACAAAAATTTTGTGACTTCGAAACGGACATAAAAAGATGAAGAGAGAGAATGTCATTGGTTTGATCTTGGATAGATCTTGGATCGTTTGAAGATCATATGAAGATCATCTTCAATTTCTTAATTAGGAACTCCCATTTTTTGTTGTATTCTTATAACTTATTTTGAGAATTTTTTAAATACACTATAAATGGTTTTTCATTAAGTACTTTTTTTAAGTTATAAGGCTTGAACTTGACGTACAATTTGACATAAAGTATAGAATATCTATTAAATAATTTTAATTAATATAATAATTAATTTAATTAATATATAAAATAATTTTATATTAAGTAAATTATTCATTTCTTAACAACTGTATCTTAATACTTTTGTGCACAAAATAATGAGATGGATTGATTGGTGTAAAGAAAATACATAATTGTTTTTCAAAAAGGATACATTATTGCATACTGTAAATCTTCATTTTTCTAGTATCTATGTATTTTCACACCAATTGATTCACCTCATTATTCTGTGCATGAAAATATTAAGAAATAGTTGCCAAAAACTGTATAGTTTATGAGATATTGATATTTTGAGATTAAAAATTTTAGGTTAAATTCAAACCTTATAATTTAGTATTTAATGAAAAAATTAACTTTATTAGTACTTTGAAAAGCTTTTGAGGTTAGCTGCAAAAACATGTAAACAAAAATATGGGTTTCCATTTAAGAAATTAATGGGGCGCATTGATCAAAGTCGCAAGAGTAACACATAGAAGTAAAAAGCGCCAAAAAGTAAAAAAGAGAAGCAGAATTTCGAAGGAAAGGAGGAAAGATTACTAAGAGAAAACGCGAAGAGAGAGATATAATGGAGAATAAAGGCGAGAAGTACTAGGAGAAAGTTAAATAAAAAAGGCAAGTCAAGGAAGAGTATATAATATAAAATTATATCTATGTTAGGTACGTGGACAAGCAGAGAAGATAAGGTGACATCTAGTAATTCTTATTCTCTATTCTTTTATTCTTATTCTTTCTTCTCTTCTCTCTTCTCTATCTCTGCAAGATCAGGATCGATAAAGCAGGAAGGAACTGACAGCAGTAAATAGAAGTGGGAAGAATAGTTTGATCGATAAATCAGGAAACGATAAATGAATAACACGAACAAACAGAGTAGTTAGTAGTAGCTGGTAGTTGAAGAGAGGACAGAATCGGATCATTTACCAATTTGTTTATATATATGGGCAGAGGATAAAATATAATAATGTACTGAAAATCTGGAAAGAATACGAAGTAATAAAAAGGTGTCAGAATAAATTTATAAAATGGGCATTAGGACTAGATTGGAATACACATATTGTGATATATAGTTAGAGAAGAAAAGACAGCTGTTAAGAATAGAATTAGGTAAAAGAGCGATTAAATTTGAGAAAAAAATTAGCGCGAAATCAGACAATAAAATATTGATAGAGTGCTTTAGGGAAATAGAGAGAAATAGCGAAAATAAGAGGAAATGGGAGTCAGAAAGAGAAATGTATTTTTGTAGGAACGGAATGTTGGGAGAAAAAGTTAAAAACTTTTGAGGAAAGGCGTGAAGTTGTAAGCAAACTAGTGGCAAGGGACTTAGAAGTATAGAAATAAATACAACATAATAAAATCCAGGATTCGAAAAAACACGTGAATATAAAGAACATAAAGAATTATGTACGATAGGAATACTCGAATATTTAAGAAGAGATAGTCATAAAGACCTTCAAAGAATTATTGCTAGATTTAGATGCAAAAATGAAGAATGAAGTAACTGCTTACAAACGTTCTTATGCTGTTCGCGCCAATAACTGATACTGGGGGTCATACCGAGGTTGAAACATTAGAACATTTGGCGACATAATGTATAGTAGAGATGATAAGAAATAGCATAAGAATAACTCAGCTGCTAGGAGACAAGGAGGAAGGAATCAGTTGGATGAAGACAATCATAAAAGCAAGGAAAGAGAATAAATCCAAACAAAGTCTAGAAAAATAGAAAAATAGGCATATAGCAAAGTCAGAAAGATTTAATCTAACTAAGCTTAAGAAAATATTTATGTATCGTGTTAATACGTCTTAGGTTTATACATTGTTATCAAATTAAGAATTATGTAAGATCGATGTAGAATCCTTTCAAAGTTAAAAGGCTCGAGATAAATTTATATCTATCTATTTGTCATTTAAGAAATTAATGATGATCTTCATGTGATCTTTAACGACTACCCAAGATCGAAACAATGGTATCATCTTATATCCCTCTCGAAGTCACAAAATTTTTGTCTGAAACATTTTTCTTTAAAATGCATTGTTTAAAAGAGATTTGAGATCGTCAATTAAAAATGGAATACAGGATGTATAGAATGATTCGAAACAGGTGTATAGAATGATTCGAAACAACCTTTTGTTCTTAAAATGTTCCTTATTTAATTCTGAGACGATTTTTCCTTTTCTAAAATTTTATCCGTAGCTCTTGTTCAGTTCTTGAATTATTAAAAGATAAAGTTGTCATATCATTAGTCAGATGTGAAAGATAGGCAAAGCACAACTCACTGTCAAATGCGGGCGCTTGCTGTGCATTAACCGATGGTTATACAAATAGTAAACGAGCATGCTTTTTAAGGAGAAAAAAATCATCTAAAAATTAAAAACTTAAAAACAAAGATTATTTTGTTTGAAAAATCCCTGTCTCACATACACACACGCGCGCGCGCACGCACACACATCCACACACACACATACACGCGCGCGCGCGCGATCACTTATTTATTCACTCGCTTGCTTACTCGCTCGCTCGCTCACTCGCTCATTTGCTCACGTGCTCACTTGCTCATTCATTACACGTGCACGCGGACGCATACACGCA